CCTTTAAGTCTTCCTACCAAAATAAACGAGTTGCGAAAACAAGGTCAACCAACTTTTATTCAACGAAAGGAGACTGCGACCACACAAAAGGCCACACCATCTTGGTCTTTATACCTTCACTTCTTTGATCGTTTCAACTGAAATTGGGTGAATATAGTTCCCTTATCAGAGCCACTTGCGGTCATACCAAAATAGTCATAAATAGCATGATTGATAATCTGAAAAATGCAGTCCTCTTTTACGCCACTCATATGCTCTCTCTTCAGATTCGATTTACTTCGCCGAGCGTTACTTACGAGAGCCGCCGCCGCCGAATGCATGCCAGAATGGGCCTCGAACTCCGGCATTCTCCGCCTCGGCCCGACAAACGGACAGTCCCCCAAGCCATGCCCACGTCCAATCCGGCCACAACAGCCATTTCCGGCCTCAGTCCTACCAACAGCACTCGCATCAACACCACCCCTCGACGCATCACTTGGCCAAACGGAAGAAGAAGACTCGCACAGTCTTCTCGCGCAGTCAAGTCTTCCAGTTGGAGTCGACGTTCGACTTGAAACGCTACCTCTCCAGCTCCGAACGTGTGGCTCTCGCGCACACGCTACAGTTGACCGAGACGCAGGTGAAAATCTGGTTCCAGAATCGTCGAAACAAGTGGAAGCGCCAACTGGCCGACGGTCTGGAGGCGGCCAAACTGGCGGCAGCGGCCAACGCAACCGCGGCCGCGTTGGCGCTCGCCGGTCCCTCGGGCCTCTGCCTCGGTACCACTTCGCCGTCCATTCTGCCCGCCGCGACCTCGGCCGCCATCTCGGCCTCCGTCTCGGCCGCCAGTTCGACCTCCGCCCCGGTCTCGGGCAGCCGCAGTTTCGGCGTCGACGACGAGACCATCTTCGTCTCGCCGTTCCACTCCACTGGCCAGGCGCCGCACCACGTCACGCCTCATTACACCCTCGCCGGAGGACAGACTGTCGCCGGTCGCGGCCTCCATCCTCCTCCGGCCACTTGTCGGCCACCGCCCGCCTCGGCCTCGACGGACGGTCTACAGTTTTCGCTGCAACTCCCGTTGCCGTTGCCGTTGCCGATGTCGCTGCCAATGCCGATGCCAATGCCAATGTCAATGCCAATGCCAATGTCGATGCCAATGCCAATGCAGATGCCGATGCCGATGCCGATGCCGCTGTCGTTGCCACTCTCAGAGCTTGTCAACACGTTGACCAACGTCTGTCCGGCCATCTCCAGTCCTCACAGTCTCCATGCTCCTCCAAACACTGGCCTCCCATCCCTCGGACTTTACTCCTCCACATTCGCCTCTTCCTCTTCCTCTTCTTCTTCTTCCTCCTCCTCCTCTTCCTCTTCTTCGTCTTCGTCATCCTCGTCCTCTTCGGTCGGCCTGTCGGGACACATCTTCTCCCCTCCTCCTCTCATCGTCCCAGAGTCCGTTGCTCCCTTGGCGCCGATGCTGCCTCAGACAAACGCTTCCGCTTTCCTATTGGCCAGTGGGCTCAGCCAATCGTTGTCCTCCTCCTCCTCCTCCTCTTTACTCCCATCCGCCCAGTCGCCGCCGGCCGGTGGCCACTTCGCCAGTCCTCTCCGTCCGCCAGCCTCTTTCGACTTTCTCGCTCCAGCCGCCCTGGCAACAGCGCCCTGCAGCACCACCGGCACCGATACTGGGTCACTGGGCTCGACGAATCGTCTACTGATGAGATTGCCGCCCTGCGGAACGGATCAGTCGCTGGCCGGTCTGTCTGATGGTCTGACGTTGACCGATTCGGCCGGTCTGTTCCGCTACGAGTCCCGACCGGGAGAAGGCAAGTCATTGCCGGAGCTGGCCAAGTTGCCCCCAGCAACTCCGTTCATCCTACCGCCCAACGCGCTGCTCCCCTCCCTCGCCTGCCCCCCCAACAACCACTTGGACAGCCCACCCTCCGGCCAGGCCACCACCGAAACCTCCTCCTCCTCCTCCTCCTCCTCCGTCGCCGTCGGTCCTCTTTTGCAACCAACGCCTCGCAACGTCTGTCACTTGCTCGCCTCGCTGGTGGCCGCCGACGAGGCCGCCAGGCCGGCTCGAACCGATACCATCACCGGCACCAACCTCGGCACCGGCACCGGCACCGGCAGCGGAACGGGAAACGAAGTCTGTCCAACTTGTCCGGCCGACGGACCGCCCGCCACCGTCTGGATGGCGGCTCTCAACATGGCCGCCGCCATGCTCATGATGACTGGCGAAGCGGCGGACGCCGGACTGGCGGGACTGCGCAACCCCGGAGCCCGCTCCGGCCTCTTCGACCTCCAGCCTGACCTCGACCTCGCGAGACCGTTGCTGTGCGGGACGATGTCAGCGTCAACGTCAACGTCAACGTCAACGTCAACGCCAACACCATTGGCGACGGCGACGGCGACAAAAACTCGGACCCAACACGATCAGGAAAACGGCCACGTGGACGAAGAGGAGGACGAAGACGAGGAAGAGAACGACGACGAGGAGGAAGAAGAGGAAGAGGAGGAAGAGGAGGAGAGTGAGAAGAAGAGGCCGAGTAGGTGCGTCGACGGAGCCATGACGACGCAACACATGACGAGACGACTGAGTGACGCCGACACGCCGAGGCAGACGGCCGACTCATCGGAGCGGAAAGGGGCAAAGTCGGATTCCGAGACGGAGGCTGAGGCGGAAGCGATACGCGAACGTGTCCAGCACGAGATACGAGGCCTCGGTAGCAACGGCCAGCTTTTGATTCGTCTG